TTTCTCCTTGCATATAATTAAAACTGGGTGCCTGGTTATCTCCAGCTGTGAGACCCTCGTACTCACTCCAGGGATAGCGGGGTTGAGCACAGAGGCTTGGGCGGCCCCGAGTGCTCAGGGGAGGCCTGAAATCCTGAGTCTTTTCCCCAAAGGACAGCAGCTGCAGTTGGCCTCAAGGAAAAGATAAGTAAAGAGACCTATGAAGCTGGTGGCTTGGGGTCTGGGGAAACTCCTGGCCAGGGCTGCCTGAGAATCACAAACTACCCTTGCTTCAATAATCCTGTATGTCTTCACTTCTGCTGAGAATATTCTGAGCTGTTCTGACAGCCTGCCCGTACCCAGGCCCGGGAAGCCCAGTGAGTCTTGTCTGGCCCTGCCCTGCAGGTCCTCGCTGCATGCCCCTCTTTGCGTGCCCCTCGGCTTCCCGCCTCCCTCTCTCCTGCGTGGAAACTTCGCAAGTGACTGGGGCAGGGCAGACTGGGAGGTTCTGCTGAATGAAGTGTATACCTGACAAGTCTGCTGCTGGGCCCTCAGGGATGCCTCCAGGTGGGAAAAGCTCTGGTGGTCAGGAGACGCCCAGCACAAACCTGGGGCCACACCTGGTACCGCGGGGATGGAAGCAGAGGGTGTTGGGAAAGGTAGGGGCTTCCAAAACCTCTCTGCCCACCTAACATCTCTGAGACTTGGTTTCCTCATTTGGAAAATGGGGGCTATAAACGGACCTCTAGGGGTTGTTCCTTCATGTTTGTTTTTTTCTTTAACACCTTTATTGTTATTGGAGTATAATTGCTTTACAAAGGTGTGTTAGTTTCTGCTGTATAACAAAGTGAATCAGCTACACATATACATATATCCCCATATCCCCTCCCTCTTGCACCTCCCTCCCACCCTCCCTATCCCACCCCTCTAGGCGGTCACAAAGCACCTAGCTGATCTTCCTGTGCTATGTGGCTGCTTCCCACTAGCTATCCATTTTACATTTGGTAGTGTATATATGTCCATGCCACTCTCTCACTTCGTCCCAGCTTACTCTTCCCCCTCCCCGTGTCCTCAAGTCCATTCTCTACGTCTGTGCCTTTATTCCTGTCCTGCCCCTAGGTTCTTCATGACCATTTTTTTTCTTTTAGATTCCATATATATGTGTTAGCATACGGTATTTGTTTTTCTCTGTCTGACTTACTTCACTCTGTATGACAGACTCTAGGTCCATCCACCTCACTACAAATAACTCAATTTCGTTCCTTTTTATGGCTGAGTAATATTCCATTGTATATATGTGTCACATCTTCTTTATCCATTCATCTGTCGATGGACACTCAGGTTGCTTCCCCTTCATGTTTGTTTATGCCATGCATCCATCCATCCATTTCCTTCTCCCGACAGCTAATGACACTGCCTACTTTGCGCCAGGGAAGGAAGAGAAGGAGAGGGAAAAGAGTAGGAGAGGATGGGTGGGGAGAGGAGGGCACGGTCGAAGGCCAACGTCGCTGGCCTGGATGCTTCCCAAGGGTGTCTGCACACTGTCTAATGCGAGGCGGGCAAGACACAGAGTAATTCTAGGACAGAGGGCTGGAGGGCAGCAAAACGGGGTGTTGAGGGCATCATGCTCTTGAGAAGAGCCTCTCAGGCAGGAGGGCACCCCTCCTGGGCGAAGGCCCAGAGGCTTGTCAGGAGAAAAGCCTCAGACTGAAGAGAAAATGATAGATGAAATCAGGAGCAGGGGACAGCTGCGTTCAAGGGCACATGCAGACACACCCCCGGGGGCCCCGCCAAAGCTTCACCCAGAGCCCAATTCCAACTTGCTGTGTTATCAAGGCCAGGCTGGAGAGGCCTATCAGAGGGGAAAGCCCTCGCCCTCTCCACGAGCACAGTCCAGGCCCCGAGGAACGACGTTCACCCAACCTGCCTCTCAGAGGTGCCCTGGCTCATGGCGCACGTGTGTGCCGAGCCACCCAGCCTCTTGATGTCGGGCTTGCGCAATGGGGCAAACTGAGACCAGACAGAAGTTGGCTGTGACTCGTGGCTCACTCCTGCTGGAGGAAGAGGGCTTCCCAAGCCGTCAAATGAACAATTTCTCCTCTAATCAAGGGGGGAGGTACAGCGTGGACTAAGGGCACATAATGTGGCTCTAGACTCTGACACAATAGAAGGTGTGTGTAGAGTGGCTCTGCTATCCACTGAGCTGTGATACTGGGCAAGAAACAGCCTCTCTGGGCCTCAGATTCCTCATCTGTAAAATGGGGATAATGAGTCCTTCCTCTCACAGAGTTGTAAGGACTTAACAAGGTTATGCCCACACTGCACTTGCACAGGAAGTGCTTGGTAAATAGGGAGCGTCATTGTTCTCACTGGCTCAGCTTTGCTGCCAAGTGAAGACTTGGGGTCTTGCTGGGGAGGGAGGCACTGGATCTCTTACCAAAAAGATGGAGAAAGATCCCGAGAAGATGAATCCTGGCTTCAGGCCCCTTCTGAGGCTGATTCAAGAGCCAGCCCGGTGGGTCTGTTCCCCAGAGACAGGTTTCCTGAGGGTCACCTGCTCCCAGGAGGGGGGCCCCCAGTCCCTCCCCACAGAACAGACAAAGGTGTTGAGCATCCTCCAGGTACAAGCTCTGTGCCAGGGGCTCTCTTCCACACCCACCATGTCATCAGGCCCCATGGATGGGCATAAGCCTCACCCTCCCCAGGGGCCAGGGCCTTGCCCAGAGGGGCACCTGGCTGGGGCTGGCCAAACCAGGGACCCTGCCACCCACGTGGGTGCTTGCCACTCCCAATGCCGATGATTTAAACTGAATTTTCTGCCAGTGGCCCCTCTTACAGGCTTTGTCTCCTGCCCCGCCCACTCTGCTTAGGGTGGCAGGGCCCTGTGCTGCCCATCTCAACCTCACCCCTGTGATACCCTCGATCCCAAATGCCCTGCAGCATTCACTGGGCCTGCAGAGGCGCTTAGAAGAGTCCGTGGAGGTCCTCAGTCTAAGCCTGCCACCTTGCAGAGGAGGGGACATAAGTTCAGAGAGGGACAGGACGAGAAGCCAGGCCAGCTCTGGTTGGAGGTTAGACTGAGGAGCTGAGGACTCACGCACAAGCCCCCTGTCCCTCCAGGGCTCAGTTTCCTGGTCTGGGCTAACACTGGCTGGAAGATTGGCTGAGCTGACATGACACCCATGGTTGGTGCAGGACTGGGCAGCCCCGTCAGCTGTCCGCTCCACAGGGCAGCCTGGACTCCAGGCCCAGGGCAGGCGGGAAGGTCGAGGGGCTGAAGGGCACGGGCACTCCTGACAGCACATGCAAAATGCTAGTACCAAGTGTTCCTGACCATCCGTGTCCTGGGCCAGGGGCCAGCCCCCGGCGGTCACACTCCCCAAACAGGCATCCCTCTGGGATTCTGGTCACACGTGGGCCAGGCCAGTCTGAAGTGATGGCCAAGGCCCAGATTTACAGATGCCAGACAAAGGAGAGTGCTGTTCTCGCTTGCAGGAAGTAGCGGGTCAGAGCACGGGCACTAACGTCACCCAGGCCTGGATGAAGTCCTAGTTCTGTTGCTTGCAAGCCACGTGGCCTCAGCCAAGTCCCTGCATCTCTCCCTGCCTCAGTTTACTCACGGTGCAATGGGGAGGGAGAAGGTTGCACTGGGGTAAGGGCGCCCAACCCCTGGCCCTCGGAGGAGCCAGGCCATGGGAGCTCATGCTATTTGTAGGGACGCCAGCCCTCCCTGCAAGGGCAACCCAGTCATGGTCTGCAGGGTCGCTGCTGGGAAGGCTGGGGAAGAAAAGGATTGCAGGGTGTGTTAATCACCAAACTGCATTCTGCAGCCTGTCCCAAGATGCTCCACTGATGCAGCCACCCAGGGAAGCTTGACTGGTCCCATCGGATCTTGCTAACACCGAGGGGGGCTCCAAGCCTGTTTTTGGCACATACCCTCCCTGACCTGGGCAAGTGCCTCCCGATCCCTTGAAGCCTCCATCTGCCATCTGTAAAGTGGTATTAGTGCCTACCTAATGTCCTGGGTTGCTGGGAGGACTCTAGGAGATGGAGGATGGGGCCAGGTCTGGCAATGGGCTCCGAGGAGGTTCCCTGCTCTGTTCACTGCCTACCAGGGCTGCTCCTGCCTTCCTGGGCAGCCCCAGGGCCCAGCCCTCTCTGAGCCATCACACACCCAGAGAGCGTCCCAGGGCCCCTGCCAGGAGGCACTGAGGACTCCCAGGTGCTTCCCAGCTGAGGCCGTCAGGACCAGCCTACGATGTCCCTCCTTCTCCCGTGAGGCTGAGGTCTCTGTGTGTTCTTCAAGAAAGGGGCTCCCTCAGCCCAGCAACTTTGTGGGATTCTTGCCCATCAATCCTTGGGACTGACAGAAGCTGCCCTCTGGCACTGGACCCCTGGACAGGCCAAGGCCAGCCCCACAATGGTGTCTCCCTCCTGTCGTCCACAGCACCCAGCACAGGGCCTGCCCCCAGAATGTTTGAGCAGTGATGAATGGATGAATGAATGAGCAGTCATGGGAGGGGTGGTGTGAAAACAGATTTAGATCAGAGAACACAGCAGCTGACACGTGCACAGTGCTCACCACATCCATCCTAGGCCCGGCTCTAAGAGGCACTGGCTACGCTGGTTAACCCATTAGTCCCCATGGCGATTCTATAAAGCGGTAAGGTCGTCCCCATTTCACAGATGAGGAAACTGAGGCTCAGAGACATGAAGTCACTTGCCCATGGTGTTAGAAAGTGGCAGAGCTAGATCCAGTGCAGGCCCTGGGCTCCAGAATCCACACACTGGTCCACGGTGCTGCCTGGGGCGGGGGCCCTGGGGAGGGTGGGGAGAGCAGCCCGTCCAGGCCGGAGGTTCCCGCCCAGGCTCCAGGCCCTGCCCCAGGGATTTAAGTGGTCTGGGGTGTGCCATCTTTCAAAGCTGCCCTGGATCTCATGTACAGCAGGAGCTGAGAAACCCTGGGCAGCCTCACCCTCACTCTTCAATCGGAGAAATGGTGGCTCAGGCAGGGAGGGGACATGTCCAAGGTCACCCTGCATGTTGGGGGAGCCTGGGACCTGGAGTCCAGCTCCTCTGACTTCTCCATCGTGGGCTTGGAGCTCTTGGAAATGGCACTGTGGTCCCAGCAAAGCAGCCCACAGGCGCAGACGCCGGTGGGAGAGATGAGGCAGACAGACGCAGGGAAGGCAGAACAGCACGCAGCCAGATGACACACAGGCCCAGCAATGCCTGACTCACGGCCACCCATCCCGTGACTCCACCCACCGCCAGTGTCCCCACCCTGGCTCACGCTCCACATCCCGCTGCAACCTCCAGAGTCCCCTGCCATTTAGGACCAGAAAGCCACAGAGGGAGGAAGGAGCGGCGGGGCCCCACCCAGAGCTGGGTGGGAAACCCGGACAACCCGAGCTGGGGGGACTCTGGGACACGCAGAGGAAGAGGCATATGCGCTGCCTCTGCTCCTCTCTGCGGTGCCCACACCCGCAGCCTGTGCTGGCCAGCGCCCTGCGGACCACGCGCCCAGGAGGAAAGCTGGCGTTGACACCCACCAGGGCCAACTCTCTCAGCCATGTGACGCCCTCTGCATCGGGGCCCCACACCTGGAAGAGCATGTTAGGTTTTTTTGCTCTCAGGTTCCTCTCCCCAAGGACGCATTACTCCTCTGGCCAAGAATTTCAATGGCTCCCCATTGTCTACGAGGTCAGCTCCAACTCTTCATCCTCATACTCAAGGCCCCAGCCTGACTCTGACCCGTAACGTCTAGGCTCCCACCCCGGCACCCTGCCCACATTAATCCTGCTGCCAGGAATGTCCCCGTCCCTGTGGCCTGACTCACTGGGAAGGAAATTCACACCCCCCCGCGAGGAGCCACAGGGGTCAGACACTGTGTTCCCAGAACCTCAAGGACTCCTCACAGTTCCCTATGCCACTGGCTCTGAAAGGCCCATTTGACAGACGTGGAGGCTGAGGCTCAGAGCGGCAACGTGTCCAAGACCACTGGAGGCTGAGTTGTCACCACACAGCACAGGGGCTTGGGTTGCTTGGACCTACGGTCTTCCCTGTTGTTAACAAGCTTTTAGCTGGTCCACGAGGTCAGGGTGACCCCGAGTCTGTTAGCTCACCCAATGCCACGGCGACTTGGGTCTGCTCACCTTGGCATCCTGACCCTCCCTTCATCCCCCTTTGGGAACAAGCTGCAACCCCTGATACTGGGCTGGGCTTAGGCTGGGGGTACCTGGTCGGGGGAGGTGGGTCAGAGAAGCTGTGCAGCACAGTGGCCAAGAGCACGGGCTCTGCAGTCAGCTGCCCGGTTCAATCCCAGTGTAACCACCCTGGGCAGGTCGATTCACAAGGCTGTGCCTCAGTTTCTTCCTCTGGAAATGGGGACAACAGGAGTAGTGACCTCAGAGATGCTGTCACAGTGAACGTGAATTCCTGTAGATAAAGGATCAGAGCAGCACCTCCACAGAGTGCTACAGAAGCGTTTGCAGCTCTTAGTATCGTTGCCCTGTTCCTCCCTGCACCTTACACTCAACATCACAACCAAAGGAAAACTGAAGTCCTCAGAGCACCTACCAGGGGAAGGAAGAGGGCTGGAGAGTGGCAGGAGAATCTGCCCCTCGGCACTGCACCCTCCCCAGCTTTCGGCCCACAAGCTGTCACCCTGGCCCATCTGCCTGAGCAGGGCAGAGCAGAGAGAGCTGGCATGTTCCCCCTCTCAGGTCCTGGGAGGAGGGAGGAGGGAGGAGGGAGGGCTCCTGCCCAGGCACAGATGCCCAGCTTGCCCCCGTGTCGTCAGTGGGATGACCCAGAGACGGGTGATGCCAGCATCACTACCCCCACCCCCCACGGCGACACTGGCAGCCACTCACGTCTCACTCCCTGCTTGGGGGCCATCACAGACACTGTTCCCCACTGGGCTGGATATAGAGATATCTGAGATGCGTTGGGGGTGGGGGGGTATCTGGGGCAGTTAACCCCAAACCTGGTTGTCCTTATAGGGTATAGATTCATCCTACCTCCAAACCCTTTATCCCATGGGATGCTCCTAGCTGGGCAAAGCTTCTTCCTCTCCCCTTTCTACAGATGGGGCCCAGAGTGGGTGAGTGACTAGCCCACGTGCACCAGCAAGCTGGTGGTGGAACCCAGACAAAACCCTGCTCTCCAGGCTCCCAGGCCTGGACCCACTATGAGGTTTCTCTTGCCAGGCCCCTAAAGGTGACTGATCATCTAGGAGAAGATAAGTCACCAGCATGTGTGGGTGAGGGACGGGCAGGGACCCAGAGCTTCCACCAACGGGAGGCCCTGGGAGGGGGTTAGAACAGGTCAGAGGCAGGGCAGCTGCGAGCCTGAGGTCCAGCTTCCTTTCTCAAGAGGGCATGATTCCTGGCAGCAGCTCCCACGGGAAACAGTAGAAGCACCACCCGCGGGAAACACGGGGTGGGACAAAGAGGGTGCCGGGCAGGGTTTCCTGTTGGGTGGGTGACCTGTGTGCCTGTGGCCCTGGGACCAGGCCAGGGCTGGGTTTCGCCTCATCCCTGGCTCAGGCCCAGGCCACCCTGAGTCCCATCCTCCGGGCCTGCCCTGGCTTCCTGTCTCACTGGCCCCGCCCAGACCAGAAGAGAGCAGGGCCCTGTGGAGGCTTCCTCAGAAGCACCAAACTTTCCTGGGGCAGGAGTGCGCAGCTGCCCTGGCCTCTTCAGTGGCCTTTAGCCTCTGACCTCTAGACCTCCAGCTATTTGTTTCCTAGCAAGAGGCCTTGACAAAAAAGCACTACTGGGTTTTATTCCCAGAACTTCAGGCACAGCTGAGTAGAGGCTGTAGGAATCAGATCACCATCTTCCCCCACTTCGGGCAGGAGCCATGCTGAAGCGACCAGGACAAGGGGAGAAGCTGAGCAAGGATGGATCTCAGGCCTCAAAGGCAGAACTTCCCAGGGGTCAAAGACGAGGGACAGTGTGGTACCTCTGCAGAAGCTGGGCAGGGTAGTCCCCACACCAGGGACAATGTGATGTCAAACCATGGGAGCAGCACCCAGAGTAAGACACCTTCAACCCCCCACCCCAGTTTTGGATGCCTGGATCCTTAAAAGTGTCAGGTTCTGGGTGGGATGGGAACTCGGTCCAGGGGCTGTGGGACCACCCATGGTCTCCAGGTGAACCCAACCCATTCCGTGTGCCTCACGAGCTGGGGACTCACCTGTCCACAGGTGAGGAGGTGGTGGGAAAGGAGAAGTTAGTGGCCTGGCCCAGTGAGGGGGAAGAGGTTTGAAGAAAGGCCCTCAGCCCAGGGCACAGGCTATGGGAGAAGCGTCTCAGGTCTCTCTCAAGGTTGCTTGGCAAACAGGCGACTCAGAAAGCAAACAGGCCAGGAAGTGCGGAGGGCCCACCGTAGACAAAGGCCTCTTGTAGCTCAGTGCTGGGGAGGAGCGCGAACAGGAGGTGGTCTGGGCTGACTGGGGCTGGGCCTTGCCTGAGATCACCCTGGGGACAGGAATGGAGCTGGGATCCAGGTCTCCTGCTTGCTCCGTGGGCAGCTCAAGGGCCTCCCCAGGGGCTGTGCTGGGAAGGTGGGACCCTGCTCACTCGGGCAGGGGCTGACTTTGGCTTCACCTCGGCTGCCCAACGCAGGACACTGATGACATGTCCACACTAGTCCAATCAAACAGGCCCTGATGGGGCTGTCTGCGGGCCCAGCCGGATGCTCTTCCTGGAAGCAGTGAAGCTTGGGAGGGACCAGGTTAAGGAGGCTAAAGCCTCAGGGGTCTGTGGGCCTGAGGTGGGCAGGGTAGAAGACAAGCCAGACTACAGCCTGGTGGGCGGCCAGGGCACCAGTTACCAGGGAGAGTTACTGAGACAGCCATGGGGCAGTAGTGAGCCTCCTGACCCCAGGGGCATACAAGCTGAGGCTGGAGATACACAGGCTTTAGAACCACCCCTGGCCAGAACCCACATTCAGTCATGGGTGGCAGGATGGCTGGCCCGTGCCACCAGCTCAACCAGTGGCCACCCCACCTCCATTCCTTTTCTGAATTGGAGTTTTCCAGCTGTATCAGAATGGCCTTGCGCTCATTAGCCCATGGGACCCATACAGGTTGAACACCCCCAAATCCTATCACAACAGAGACAAGGTCCGACAATGCTCTGTGTGGCCCTGATGGCAGCTCTCTGTGCCCCTCATCCCGGGCACCTAGTAGAATCGGCCTCAGTCCATCCGGGGAAAAGTATGCCTAGCTTCGCCAGAACCTAGGGCAGCCTGTGGAGTCAGCCACACCCTGATCCCCACCCAATGGCTGCCTCTCCCCGGCCCTCAGCCCACCCTGAGATGTTGATGATGCCGGCTTGGCAGTGAGCATCTCCACGGCCAGGGATGTGCTTTGTATTGAGCACAGACCTGGCACAGACTTGGTTGCCAGGAAATGTCTGTCAAAGGAAGGAGGGACAGAAGCAGCAGGGAGGAAGGGGGACAAACAGACACTTGAACCCAGGCGGGCTCTCAAGAGCACTGCCCCCAAGGCCACCATAGCCCTCCTCCTCCTCCAGGACCTGGGGGACTGTGCCCTCTATAGGTAAGACACAGCGCTCAGGTCAGGTAAACATGGAGGAAGGCCGAGGGAGGCCCTACTCAGGGCATTCCCTTGGGCTCTGCTGCCTGGGTGGGCTCGGAGAAGCCCCTCAGATGTCCGGGCTCAGGGTCTCTGCACTCTGCCCACATCTGTTCTGGAAGCCTGGCTCTGACTCCAGCCTCTCTGGAGGACAGGGACCCTCGCCCCAGCTGCTTGGTCCACGAGGGACTCAGCGATGTCTCTCAGCTCCCCTGAGGTCCCCCGCCCAACGCTGAGGTTTCATCCTCTTGGACTGGCAGTGTGGTGGGACATGGCTGCCTCATGACATGAGCACAGGGTCTTTGCTGTGAAAGGTGATCCTGTCCATCCAACAGGAGGAAAATATGTCACAGGTATGGAGGTCCAGAGAGGTTCTGGAAGACCTGGGGTGCGGACAACCCTACCCCCTTGCCTAGCCCAGGTCCCGGCACACAGTAGGTGCTTAATGCCTACCTGCTGAATTAACCAATGGCTTGCTGGGTGCATGACAATGGGCTGACCTGGGCTCTCCCGCTGAGGGGCCAGGACTCAGCAACACGCTCTAGGGGACATCACAGGGGCTGCTGCATGCACATGTGTCCCTCTTTGGCCTTTTTGAGCTGCTCCTGGACAGAGGATGCCCCCCCGCCCAACCCTGTTTCAGGGCTGGGCGCGTTCCCTGCAGTCAGCAAGCCCAGTGTCTTTTCTTGACAGATGGAGGTAGGGGAGGTCCAGGGAGGGTAGGGGGTCAGAAGCAGTGGCCATTCCCCAGGCCAGGCCTCCCCACACCAAATCCAGAGGCCCGAAAACTCCAGGACCTGGCTCAGGGCTGCCCTCTGTCCACCGCCCCTACCAGTGTGGCCCCCTCCCCTGGCTCCCTGGCTCAGCCTCCTGGCTGCAGCTGGCCTGAACTGCTTACTTAGACAAACAGGGAAGGCAGCCACGTGACTGGTTAAGGTTTCCTGGACCAGGGAGACACACACACACACACACACACACACACACACAGCCACTTGCGGCAGGTCAGGT